AACTTAACTTTATAGAATGTTCTTTACTAATGAACAGTAGAAATACATGATATCATCGATTATTAATTGAAATTCATATATAAAGAAATGCAATATCGGATATTTTTTTATTGTTACATAAAAAAGTATAATTATGTAATAGATTTCATCGGATATATAATTATACAAATATAGTATGACGGTAATCGTTGACAATTTTAAAGCATAAAACAATTAATTTACGAATTAATATTTGTTGACGACTGCCAAACAAAAGATATTGTGACTAATCACTCATTAGAAAAAAAGGAATTACTTTTCTTGTATACAGTTTGTTTATGGTTTTGATAAAAGTGCTTTGTTCTCTTTATTGACCGATCAATGAGTTATACATTTTTGTGTAGTAAAATGTTCTTGTAATGTTATTTGTTTCAATAGTTGATGTTAATGAATAGTACCGAATATTTGCAGTTCCTAGGACGGTCTTTGACTGTTCGAAGAGTCAAATTTTCAGGCAAGCCAGTATCAGTCATATATTGTAGACGAGAGATTATACTTAAGGGTTTTCTATAAAAGCTATGACATTTGTCTTGAATTCCTATGGGTCATAGTACGAATATTATAGAAATTAAAGTAAAATGAGACCATAAAAAAAAACGGAAAAAGTGGAATACTGTTTGTGTGTTTTAAGAAAAGCGTTGAAACCCAGTAAAAAATCACTTTTAAATACTAGATATTTATATAGTTTGATTTGTGCAATTGATATAAAACAAAAAACACATGATAATTAATGTATATTGCATGATTTATGAGAATGGTACCATTATCCAAGATCGTATTTGCTTTTGTGTTGCAGCTCAACTGATCTACAGTACATTACATAGATAGAAAGCCAGTTATTGTACGAGAAGAATAATCATCTTTGTTAGTAGGTTGTAGACAAGATCGAAAAGGATAATTCTTATCATTAAAACAGTTCTGAATTGTAACAAAAAAAAAGAAATGACGACTTCTCGTGTGATAACTACCAAGAAACTATCGCTGATAAATTGATCGATACAATATGCACTATACTGATGGTACTTGGAAAGTATTGTATCATGGTGTATTGTATCAGAACGAATGAATCGTTTTCACGTCTGTTAAAACTTGCGGAATCGAGCCGTGTTCAATGTACTATGGAACATGCTGATGTGTCTTAGTCGCCTGTGATAGTCAAATAGATCACATCAGTCCCAATTATGAGATAAATTCTTATTAGTAAAATATATTCTGAAAGTATTTTCTTCCCACTTAAATTGAATTCTTTTTACTAGATAATTCAAAATTGCGGAGAAAAGACTTTCTGCACTGGTGTATAATCGAAATCAAAAGTCTTCGTAAGCACTATTGCCGGTTCTGATGACTATCGCGGTAATGCGAATAAACGTGTAACATGGGTCGGCAAACATATCGATAAGGTATCGTGTTTCAGTATTTTTTTGCATATCGAAATACTTTGATAATATTAGAGACAAATATTTAATCATAGCTTACTTCGAATCATTTCTTTTCATTAAAAATCAACATTTTGATGATTTTCTCTAAGAAAACAATCTTAGTACATTGTGGCAAGCTCGAAATTCTTTTTTACTAATTAAGAATCGACCAGCTCTCAGTTCCAAGTTTAGATCAAATTATTGAAAGAACTGTTTACACAGCTTCTAGAAGGGAGCTGTTCGGAAAATTTTTCTCTACTTTGGAAACAACATTTCAGTACCAGAACAAAGATGCTCCTATATTCGGAATTGCTATTCCTAAAAATTGAACAAAAATTATTGTTACAGATCAGAAAACAATTTCAACAGTTCCTCAGATTTGAGCTAGAACTGAGTTTGTCAACCTCTAGTGCTTATGTAAAATTTACAAATCGATTTACTAGTGTTTCTTACTGCTGTGATTATGTCTAATTAGTTCTATATCAATATTCAACGATGTTTGATAGATCTAATTAGATTTTTATAATCATGAAACAATATTTTATTAATATGTGCATGCTAATCAACATAATATTTATTGATTTAAATCATTCAAAATTTTATTTTTCTAATTGGAAGTAAAATAATAATCACGATTTGGTTTCATTGGTTTTAAACAAAAAATATACAATTCAGAAATGCCGTACTAAAAAAACAAGTTCTTTGAAAATAATTATAAGGCAAAAAAACTACTAAAGAAAAAAAAAACATCAATTATCAGATAATTATTGATTGTCTATGACATTGCATAAAAAGCTTATGATGATATGTGACCTTTTAAGTATAATTGTGTTTGTTGTTCAGGTCGAAGATTTTGTGGTTTTAAACGTTCACTTAAAGAAAAAAAATTTGATTAAAACGAATTGTGTATCATAATTTTATATATTATATAATTTACTTCAATAATAATTCACTATTTGATGTTGCAAAACGTGATGTAGTGGAAGAAAAAGCAATACTTCGTCGTTTATGTCGTTTACGTTTATCAGCTATTGTTTCATCTCGAATCGGTGATGCAAGATTATATCGGCCAACACCGACTGACTAAATGGTAAATATTTGATTAAGGGATAAAACTTTAGAAATAATTGACATACATGATGAGAACCTGTACTAGTAAATGAACGATTATCATTTCTTGATGATGTTGAGTTAAAGGGAACTTTTTTCTTATGATAGTCATGTTGTTCCCATGGTCGAGTTATGGCATAAGTACCTGGCCCAGGAAAATCAGCATTTTTTGGTTCGAGACCTTTTTTTTTATTAAAAATAAAAACCAAAAGAATAATTTAGTTATTTTATTTTCCCGACATATCAACCTGGATGTTCAATAGCTAACCGATCAGTTGGTTTCTTTTGAAATCTACTCAATTTACTAAATGTTCCATGTTTATTTTTAGTTAATTCATGTGTTAATGACGTTGATTCTGGATAATCTTTTGATGGAAAATCAGGTGATAAATCCCATGTATCAAGAACAGCATAATGTCCTGTTGATATAGGTGCTGAACGACTTAATGTAAATAATTGATATGGACCTTTTTCACTAACACGTTTATTAATTAATTCATCTATGGAATTCTTTATATTATATGTTCCTGGACCAATCTTTGAACCCTAAAAAATTGTTGATTACAAAAACAAAGAAAAAAGACAAAACTAAGAATGTTTTTAATGTATTACTTGAAGTGGTAATGTTCGTGGACCTTTATTCCAATCAAATGATGGAACATTACTTCCTTTTCGCCAACGATTTTCGACAAGTTTTTCATCAGGAATACCATAGGCACCTGGTGGAGGTGCTCTATCCTATTTAAAAAATATATTACAATAGAAATGAAAGAAAATACTTTGTTTTCCTCATACTAATATTTCTTTTGGAAAACGAGGTGAAAGTTGATCAAGTGCACCTCGCACACAACGTGGTCGTCGATCAGCTTCTGTTAAAAAATCATTAATGGAATAAGCACCAGGACCAATACGTCTTTCATCTTCTTTTCGTTTTTCATATGTTTCTTTAAAAGATGGATGAGGAAGTTTGGCTAGCTGCTCTGTATATAATGATTGTTCCCAGTTTGAACCTTCGGTACGTTTTTGAATATTCTTATCACTAAAATCACCATATTGTATTAGATCATAGGAACCTGGCGCGATATCAGGTGAACTTTGAAAATGAGTACCAGTCAATAATTCGGGGTGTAAACCAAGTGTTTGAAATCTAGATATTATTATTGAACAGAGAGTTGATTAAAGAATATACCTATTGGCATATTTTACCTAGCTGTTTTCGTAGAGAAACCTAGCGGTGTAGTCTTTTCAACTTCGACAGTAGCCATGTACAATATGATGAACAACTAAAAAATGATTCAAAGAAGAACCTTTTAACTATTGTTTCGTTTAAAAATCAATTGTTTTTTTACGCATAGCCTTTTTTTCGAAAGAAAAAAATCGGCTTTTTTTATGATACTTAACACAAGTATAGCATTAACATTTTCTTTCTTTGATTGTAGACATAATCAAAAAACAAATAGTTACAAAGTTGAAAAAGAACACAACTCTATGCATTGTCAATTTTACCATTGCAATGTTGGTTACAATAACATTTGCCTCCTATGTTTTATTGTTCTCTACCTTCATTGTTCGTTCTGTCTGCATAGCTGCTCTAGTATTTCATATTTTTTCTTTATCCTATTAATTATTTATTGTATCATAAGCCATTTTTCGAGTATCGTGTTTTTGTTTTCTGCTTCAATAGCACGCGCTCAAATATAAACATTCTATGAATAGCATCAACAAACTAGTAAAGGTAGTGTTAGTAATAATTTAAGTCTTGAAGATCTTGACCTAAAAGGCAAACATATTTTAATTCGTGTTGATTTTAATATTTCATTGGATTATGTTCAAGTAAAAGATAAATAATGCATTGAAAATACATCACCAACAATAAAATATACTTTCGATCAAAGTGAAAAATCACTTATTCTTATGTCACATTTGGGTGAACCTGATGGTAAACGTGTTGAAAAAGAAAGTTTGAACCTAGTTGAGGATGAATAAAAAAAATTACTTGATAAAAATATAACATGTTGAAATGATTGTATTCATGATGAAGTTAAACATATAGCTAATGAAACTGATAATGGACAAGTTATTTTGCTTGATAATTTCGATTTAATGAAATAAAATAAAAGAGCATGAAGATGCTGTCAATAAATTTCGAGCTAGTCTATCTAAATTGGATGATGTTTGTAAGTTTTGATTCTGTGTTTTATCCAGATTTTTTTCTCCGAAGAGGCGATTTGAAATTCCAGGAGGGCAAGCCATATAGTTCGTCGCGCGATGATCGTGAGCCTCGGGAGAGGGGACGAACTCGATTTTCGGGGAGGCACCGCTTGCTCCCCCCCTGAACTCCGCTGGATAAAACACTGTATCCATATGAACATATATCTTGTTTATATAAGATATCAATGATGCATTCATCTGGAACAGCTCATCGCACACATAGCTCAATTGTTGGAGTTAAACTTGATCAACGTGCAGCTCATAATTTAATAAAAAAGAAAGAACTTTACTATTTTCATCGAGTACTTGAAAATTCTGAACGATCATTTTCTTGCTATTCTTGGCTGGTTTTTTCCTTTTTTTTTTTTTTACTAAGATTTTTCCAAAAATAAAAACTTTCTTAGATTTTTTTAAGGTGGCACAAAAATTTCTGACGAAAGTCAATTAATTGAAAATTTGTTGGATAAAACTAATGGATTAATTAATGGCGGAGGTAAATATAAAAATTCTTTAGCATTGAAAAATAATTCTCTCGTTTTCTAGGTGTAACTTTTACATTTTTCAAAAGAGACAAACATATGAAAATTAGTAATTCTTTGTTTGACACAGAAGATTCGAAATCTATTCAAAAGATTTTTGATAAAGTTAAAACAAAAAAATGTTGATATTTATTTATTAATTGATTTTATGATTGCTCATAGTAATAAATCAAAAGCAAATAGTATTGATGATGATTATCTTGGTCTTGGCATTCGTAAAGAATGAATAAAAAGGTTTAATGAAGTTATTCAACAAGCGAAAACTATTGTATGGAATGGCTCCATGGAAGTTTTTGAACAAACGAAACAAAATACTACAGCTATTATTGGTGAGGGTGATACAGTAACAGCTTGTACTCAATTTGGTTTTACTGACCAAATCAGTCATGTATCAATTGAAAGTTAGTTAAATAATAAAACTATGTTTCAATCGTTGAATTGATTTTTTGGGTTTTTTACTTTCAAGGTTGTGCAAGTCTGGAACTTCTTGAAGGAAAAGATCTTTCTGGTGTAACTGGTCTTACTCACAAATAAACTTATTATTATTTTTGTCCATAATAAACTTTAAACATCTAGTCTTGGATCTTGAACTTTATAGTTTTATTTTTTTTAGCTCTAACTGATATGTCAAAAAAAAAAAATATAAAAAAAAGGAACATTTAAGATTCATCAGATTCTTCTTTCCATGGTCGTTCAATTCTTTTTTGTTCCCATGCATCTAAATTTTGATTTTTAACCATTTGTTCATATTCTTCTTCTAGTGTTGTTGGTTCAACATAGTCAAGACCTTTAGCTTTAATTTCATCACGTGAATAAGTTTTAACATGCTGTCGTCGACGATCATAACGTACCCATGTTGCACTACGTAATGTTATATAAATAACACCCACTAATGTTATAAATGGAAAGAAATTTTTTCTAAAATTTTTATTTATCATTGATTTATTTGTTTAATATTAGAACAAATGAATTCTTCAATAGCTTCAAGATCTTGTTTTGCAAATGAATGTAAAGCGAAACCAAAAAGAAGTTGTTTTTTTAATTGTAATCGTTCGTAAAGATGACGAGCAAGAATATGATATTCAGCTTGGTCTTTACCAAGAAGAGATTTTATTGAATAGACTGGAGATGAGTCTTCGTTTAGATTAACGTCTCGACGAACGAGAACCTAAATAATTAGTGTGAAAATGAATATAAACATCTTGTTTTTCTCTAACTTACTAAACTTCCAATTTTACCAAATTGAGTTACTGATATAAAAAGTTTGTTAGCAAAATTACTTATAACAAGATCGGTAACGTGATTATTTAGTGTTGTTTGTGCCTGAAAATATCCAAAAAGGTAAAAAGAAAATATACATTAAATAATTTTACAGTTATTGTTTGTGGAAATCTAGAATCCATAGTACATGATGAAAACAGAAAATTTTTTTTTGTCGATAAAGCTTTTAAGATTTAAATAGTAGTTGCCAATCTAAATAAGGAGGTTTATAGATGACGCTACATATAATATCAAGATTTTGGTTCATACAATTTATATTATTGTTATATTAACTGGATTTTATTGATGAGCTTGAAAAGCAACTCACTCTGATTTCCTTATTTCTCAACTTTTCTATTTTCATTGTTACATTAGGAAAAACTTTTCGATTACAATAACATCTATATATTATCCCTATTGTTTTGGATCTGTTCTTGTTGCAGAATATATCATGTAGTATAGGGTTTTTCTGTAAAACATGTTTTTGGCGGAGAATACACGTATTTGAATCGCTAATATCAACAACAGTAGAAAACAAAGATATAGTAGTAGCACCAGATGGAGTATATAAATCTGCCTAAAAGACACGAAGACAACCTCAAGAAGTCCATAATCCAATCTAACTTGGGATTTAATACGGAGACTTGAATAATCTTAACCGATTGCTTCTCGTTCCATCAGATTGATAGATTTTATACAGTGTGTCGAAATTTTTCATGGCATTCAGTCGTAATTAGTAACATTGTCGTCATGAAGCAGAATTAGAAAACGTTCTTAAAGAAAAATTGAATTTTGTCCGACTTAATGTCAAGTCTTACATTGTCAATGACTTGACGTAGGACTCTCTTTTTTTGTAAGTGAAACGGAGCTTTACGGGACACACGAGTTAGATAAACTAAAAGTTGTTGAAAGTTTTCTTCGTCTTTAGTGACTAAACTTACGTTCCTTAAAGAAACGTTTTCAACAAAGTGAGCAAATTCATGATGTAATTCTTTTATTTTTGTCAACGCTACTGTAGCACTATTATTTTGTTGTTTTCTAGTAAAGTATATCAAAGACTCTTCTTTTAAGAGTCAAAATTTAATCTTGATATTTTTTTTCAAGTACACATGTGTGGACATAAGTTGTAGATTTTTTCTTGCACTGTATCAGTTTTATATAGAGCAAAGTGTGAGTTGGAAATACTGATGGTTATCTTCAATATGTTCCATAAGTAATTTTTAATTATATGTTGTTGTATAACTTAATCTTCGTGGTACTACAAATATTCGTTGATCATTTAAAATAAAACGTATGTAAATTTTATTATAACGTTTTAACGCATGAGTGTGATGGGGGTACTATGACCACAATAATCAAATAGAGAAGAAGACAATCCAATATTTCTTATCTTATCAAGAGAGTATCTGAAAAATAGTTTCTTTTGTGACTATAAAATGATGTCGTTTATAACTACATTTGATAGAAAGAATAGACTAGCACAGGATGATATCATTATAAATCTTGATATAAAAATATACGTAATGCATATGTAAATAATCTGTTATTATTGTCTTTGTAAAATACAAAAGACCGATGAGACAACAGATATGAACGATATCAAGAATATAATAGTATAGTATGAAATAATCATAGAATTGCCGTTTTATTAGATCAAGTGTATAATGTATCATCTCTTGGTTGTTCAAAGGTTTCATTTCGAAAGACTAATCATTTTATCTATTTTTATGATCTTACTCAATAAAGAGTTGATTAATTTTTCAAACTATTCATCAATTTATTTGAATTCAAATAACAATTATTTATACAATAGTCAATGCAATCTTATTATTATCTTATTCGATAAATCTAATTTGTGATAGACTGATAACTGAACAATGCATGATTTAATTACTACAATCAATTTATTATTAATTCTTGCTAATATTCACAATATATCAGTTTTTTAAATAAAAAGTAAAAGAATTGGTTCTCATTATGTTGAATTATATCGTTGATTCAGACATGTCATTAGTAATTTTTTTTCGTATGTCTGTTCTCTTTTGCTTCAAAATCATTTGAGGAAAATATTTTATGAAATTAGTTATTTTATTTCAAAAAATAAAAAAAAAAAGAGAAAAATGTATTAATAAAAACAGGCATAAATAATTAAATATATTTAATGTTTCTTGGTTGGTGTACCAAAGAGAATATTTCGCATGGCATATTCTTTTTCTTTAAGACATTCAGGTCGTGGAATGAACACATTTGGATCACTAATACCTACAGTAAGATCATAAAATGATAAAATCTCGTTGCCATATTTTTCACTGTAAGTTGTTCGAGAAACTGGAAGACATCCTCGGTATGTCCATGTACCCACGTATGGAATACTTTCATTTGTTGGTAATGTCATATTGCCACCCCTACAGAGAAACGAAAAATTCACTTGACTAACAAATAAAGAATTCATACTAACCAAATAGTAATGAGTAATCCAGTATCTGGCAGAGCAGATGAACCAATGTAAGCTTCACCATAAGAACGAGCATCTGGAAGAATACCAAAATCACGCCATGGTTGCGTTACTTCTCGACGTGTACAATTCTGATGTTTTAAATCATAGACAAATTCAATTTTTGCATCAAATAACGTGAGTAAATCAAAAGCTATTTCTTCACTGCCTATGTCAATAGTTTCAACAATTCGTACACGATGATAAACAGAATCATAGCTTATTCGTCCTCGTACTGAAGCTTTTTGTTTTTCATTGCTATCAAATATACGTCCTTCCCATTGTGATGGAGATGTACAGGGACGTGGTTGTTGTGCAACTGCAATGCCAACCAAACAGAGAAGAAAAATTGTAAACATTATTTTATAGTCTTTTTATTGAAATAAAGGAGTTATAAAAATTTTGACTAAAGACAATGAAAAAACATATCTTTATATATATACAATGTAGATAGAAAAGATTATTATCAATTTCTGGTATACTAGGTTTCAGATAACAAAAATAAATAAAAATGAGAAAGAAGCGTAATATTCAGTTATTGATACACTATGACAAATAATGATGCATCAATGACCAGTAAGCATTGAGTAAAGAAATGATAAGATAACAAATAAGTTGTCTTTTTATAAAAAAAAACATGTTAATACAAGAAAGATGACACCATTGTGGTTATCTAACAAAAAGACTGAAATACTCTAATCTATATTAAGAATATATTGTGTAGTTCAACAGTTGATGTCATATAGAAAGTATTGAAAAACCAATGTTTTATATGTATTATTTCTTAATCATTGTTGTTCTCATGTTTTTTTCTTTAATATCTTTTTTTTAATTTTGAACAAGATATCAATTTAATAGAATATCATACGATCATAACTCTTTATTCTGAATTGTTCTTCACTTGAACGACATTAGAATTCTGCTTCGTAATCCACATCAACATTTTTCAGAGCGATTCTTTTTCTTCTATTTATATGAGTCTGTATGAATTGAACACTATTAACTTAAATATTTTGTTGCAAGTTCTACTATAACTATCGATGTTTCATTAAGCTTTACGTATATTAATGTATATGTTCACTAAATTATTTATTAGGTTTTCATGTATCAAAAGTTGTTAGACTGATAAAATTCTATCAAATTATTCGACTCATAATTGTTACTTAATGATGAACCAAATTAGATCTTTCAAAAATTAAATACAATTTGTATGTTCTTTCATACTGGATTTGGAAACAATGTAGACTCGTCTAATTTAAAGTCGGTACTATAAAACTTCCTTTTCGAATGGACTTTAAATTCTTTTTACATGACTATAATTGAAATAATGATATAAAGTTTTCTTTGAAAATTCTGATTAATTTCTAATCTTATGAATGTCTGTTGATTGTAATAAGAATAAAAACTTAATGAAGTTATGTTGCTCTAAAAATCTTATTCGATAAAAAAAAGAATACAAAACAACAGTTATATTGGAAAATGTCGAGGATCGGTTTTTAGAATTCGCGTTGATCAAGAATTCAAAAATCAACGCTTTACATAACAAAAGTCATTAATCTGCATCCTTGGACTTCTTCTTGCGAGATTGATACTTTGTTTTTTTTTAATCAAGACATCAAAATTCTTTTTCATCTCGAAGTTCAGACAAGGTTATTTTTCACAGCAAATAAAAAAGCTTCTGGTTAGATTGATCAAGAAAATAACAGTCCAATAAGAATTCACAGATAAATTCATTTTTCTGGGAGTTCAAACCTAACTCTTTTTCTTTTCATTAAAAAGACTTCAGCCCGAACTTCAAGACAAATGTTTTGTGATATCTATATATAAGTAGCGTACCACAGGATATTCATGTGAATGTGAGTGTGAGTGTTGATGTGAAGGTAGACTTGATCGTGATTGTGGGTGTGGAGAAGTCAATTTCAGATTCATCAAAATATTCAGTGAGGGACACCGGTCATTACGTAGGATGCGAAAATTCACAATAGTATCTACGTACAGTATAGGTAATTTACGCCTCATCTTCCTATACGCACCATGCACTTCTTGTTAATATTTAAAAGTGCCTTCCTTATTGCATCAATATTATAATATGGCATTTATTTTATATGTAAATTATCGTTAAATTTGCTTTAGTATAGGAAAAAAATAACTAATGAAAAGTATCGATAAATTTAATGTTCTCGACTAAACTAAAGCATTACACACCTGTAAATTATGTATCATCGATTACGAGTACAACTGTATTTGGGTTTTTAGATAACAATAGGGTAGCAAGTGAAGAAGAATGTTTGTGAATGATACTCTGGCGACAAATATTAATAAAATCAATATAGCATGGTGCAAGGTTTGATAGCATAGCTTAAAGAATAGTTACTAGAGTCCAAGAAAAGTCTTTGAACATTCCGGACAGAATGTTTAAAAAGATGCTTAAAGTTGAAGTTGACGACGAACTTGATCAGCTGATCAAAGTTTGATTTAAATTTTGTAGTTTAGCTATAACCATCAATACGTGGCATTATAAAAGGAGAGTAAAAATTTAACAAATGCCGGATGTGTTGAACCAACTAATGGCATCGGTGTAAGAGAAAAGTATTTTGGTAATTTTATAGGGACAAATTCTGTTTCATGTATCGATATGTATATGTCCAT